TGCTGAAAGGATTGATAAACTCAATTATATATATTTCTAAATAAAAAATATAATAAACGATATATATATATACACACACGCACACCATCAAAACCATTTTAAATTAATGCATAAGCTCGAGCTTATTAGAAGTAATTTCGTGAGTTTTGGCTACTCAAAAGCAAACGTCATCTCACATTTGATCTTCCATTTCTGTTGCGACGGTAGTTGAACAAGTTCTAAGTTTTCATATATATTCTCCAATACATACTTGACAACAATTTTATGTATAATATTTAGGACAATATTAATTTATCATTATGACATTGAGTCCGTTAATCAAATTAAAATCTTAAATTTGCTTAACCTTATGAAACTAACAATTGTAGAGGAGTGTTTTTGCCTTTTATTTTATTTATTTATTTATTTTTTATTTTTTTTTACTAAAACAATGAGAAGAAATAAACTCAAACTCAACTAACAAATATATAATAAAGTTGGAGGGTTTCGAACAATCAGATTGAACTAAGAAAAAAGGAAAAAGAAAAAAAGAAAAAGAAAATACTTTTCCTTCAATTTTACCATTTGAGGTTTTATTCACATATCTTTGTTCTTCGTTGGCTTATTGGGAGAACGAGAAGGAAGTCGAGGGATTTTTCGAAGCTTCAATTGAGACAGAACGCGATCGGAAGGCAAGTCTGCGTTCATTTTCTCTACAAACTTCTGACGGAGAGCATAATCTTTGTCGACGTAGAAGAGGATAAATTATGGGCGTTCTGTAATGTCCGTGCAAACGGTGCTAGGGGGAAAGATAATGTCGAAGCTTTTGAAGAAAATTGCCGGCTTCTTCACCGACAGAACTCTGATGGGAGTTGACAAAGCGGGAAACAGATACTTCTTTGTAAAAGAAGAAATTGATGGCATAAGTAAGTAGCTCTAAATCCCCTTAAATTGCTCATTCTCATTGTTCCATAACTGCTTTTGATCGGAATGAGGATCTTGTTCTGTAATTTGTCTTACATTTGGCGTTGTGAGATTCCGACTGAGTTTTTGCTTCTTTTTGTTTCTTTATGGATTTCCAGTTGCATTCACCAATTTTAAGAACGGTCGGAAGTCTGAAATTACACAAAAGTTAACAGCTAATCTTAATCCATGGAAAGCCAATAATTTCCCCCAGAAAACTGTTGAACTCTTCCTTCTGCTTGTGGTTTCAGCTCTGTGTGCCTTTGCAATTGAATTATAAAATTTCAATCATTGGGGCCTTTCCCTTTATCTTAGTCGACATTAAATGAATGTTATTCACGAGATATAAAGAGAAAGAGCGCTCATGATTTAGCTTGATTGGTAATTAACTGCCTTTCTTACTTATACAAAGAAACTGTTACTACTTCACGTATACAGCTCACACAACTTTTACTCATTGGTTTGCTAGTGAAAGAGAAGAGATGGGTGGTTTTTAAGGGTGAGGATGATCCAACGTCAATTCCAGGTATGCATTTATGTGCCTATAGATCAAACTTAAGAGAAGGCCTTTGTTATTCAAATCATCTGATTATGTCATTTTTAAGTTGGGGTTTAAAATATTGGGTAAATTACAAATTTTGTTCCGATAGTTTGGAGAAAGTTAGAATTTAGTCCTGATGATTTTAAAAGTTAAAACCTCGAACTTTTGATATGATAAAACCTCATATATAGTTTCTATGATTTGATATTACCCTCATAAATGCTTCCTCCTTCTAAGTTGGATATGTAGTTTAGGAGGAACTCGACATGCTGGTGGTAGGTTTTTGTGATGATGATTGCTTATATTTGCTGCAGTGGAATGGATATGTTGGTTAAATGGGCAGCGTAAAAAGGCTCCAACTCCAGAGGTAACTTCTTCCATGACCAACCGTTCTCTTTGCATCCCCCTTGATTGGCCTGAAGAATGGTGATTGGTGTGCTACTCTTGATTTAATATTTAAATGGTTCTTTTGTCATTGTCTTCAGGAAATGATGGAGTTAGAAGCTAGGCGTGAACGTGTACGACAAAATGTTGCCTGTATGTTGACTCTTCATGCCTCTTATTCCTTTGTTGTTCATGATGGAATATTTTACAATATGCATTTAGAACTTTCAACTTCTCTCTATGCAAATTGTAACTCATATACATACAGGCAGAAAGGGATGAACTGCATTGTGCCTAAAATGGCCAAATATAAGAATCTCCAAACATATTCATATCTGAGAACTGCTTTTTGTACGAACTGATGGTGAACTTTATAATCTTACTTAAAGACCTAAGAAGCATGGATATGGATGCAAGCCACAAATACAACACGGCATACCATTTAAAAAAAAATCTAGGACACGGACATGAAAAAACACGTTTATTAGAATATGCAATTTTATAATACATATCAGTTTTATACTAGAAAGAAATTCAAAATCAATAAGATTATGCGTTTATATGCTTGAAAAATGAGTTTGATGTTTTTTACTCTCAAAATTTATTATTTTTGTACTATATTATTATGTGTCTATTTAGTATACTTTACGAGTGTTTGATACATGTTTAACAAATGTTGGTTCTATATTGGTTTTGTACGACAACTAGTGTCAGACTCATGTATTGTACTTAGCAAGTATCCAATATGTGTCCAACAAGTGTTGAAGTGTCTGACACATGTTAGATATGGTACATGGACACGCTAGCTAAGTAAATTGTCTCTGCTTCTTAGCTTAAGACATTCGTTCAAAATTATTTTTTTCTGCCTTATATCTTCTTACAAGATGGTTTATGCTTCCAGTTGGAATTCATCTAGGTCAACTTTTTTTCTGTTAACGAATTCATATTTCTTTTTATGAGATACAGAACCGGATCAGCATTTGATTAGCAATTGAAGTTCAAATTTTAATTTTGTTTGATTCTTTTTGAAGAGCCAATATCATTCTCATTCTTTGACTTAACAAGGTCTTTTTGGAAATTTGTATGTCTAATTTAGTACTCAAGAAAGAAGAGATGGAAAGAAAATCTAAAGAAAGCAATCTACGGAAAGTCGTTAGCACTGGTGAGTTGCTTATTTACTAACTCACGTCCTTGTTACTTGGAGCATATTACTAACATTCTTTTGCTGCATGGGTCAAGTTGCAGGTCCTAACTTGAAAAGCTTCATTCGACAATTTCCAACTGGTTCAGAAGGTATCATATGATCTAATAATGTATTTTCTTACCCCTTTATTTCCTCTTGGTCCTCCCCCCAAGATAAAAGAAATGTATTTGCTTCAATACTTAGAATAGGATTTTCTTAATGGCTATATTGAGATAGAAAGAAGCCGAAGTTCCCATTTGTATCACTTGCAAAAGCATTTGGTTTAAAGTAATAACTTAGAATGATCTTAATTTTCTTCATTTGGTCGATTACTTTCTTGTATTTCTTCTGGTCACGTATACCTCGCTCTCTCCAAAACCGATAGTCCTTCATTTCCTTTTGATCAGAGTTTATTTTATTGATTCGATACATATAATTGTTCATTCATTTTGGTTTTTCTTGCACAAAGGTGCTCAAGACAACGAAGGATCGGCTGCAAAGGATAGCCTGAGGTAGGTCATTCATTTTGAATGTCATAACTATTTCACTTTTTTCTTTCTTATAATTTTTGACTCAATGCTATGGTCTTCCACGAAAAATTTTGAATGTACTTTTCCATGTTGTTCGCCTTTGCCATGTGACTTGTATTGAGTGTTATTATTCTTTCTGAGTTTTCTAGGTAATCAATATTGTGATCTTTTAGCATTTATTCTGTTAAAAACTTCTAAAGTTTTCTTTTGCAATGTATTTAATTTGTAATTAATGTGCTTAAATTTAGAGAACTGTTCCTTGCTTGTAATATGGATTTACCTTTGCTTCAACTACCAGGAACTCAAAAGAAAATGAGGCAGCTAAAGAGCAACCAATTCCAGAGTAAGTGGCTTTTTCTTTCTTTCTGATCTCACTCAACTTATTAGCCATAACTATCAACATTAGAGCCATAGGATTTATGTACTAGCTGAATTATGTATCAAAAAGTTGCCGTTCTTTCATTTTCAGGTCCTCCGAGCCCATGGGATCTGGTCAAACATTCAGACCAGGAACGTGGCAGCCTCCAACATGAGTGCTGATGCTCTTCAACTTCAAGAGAAGAACTCTCCAACCCTTGAACTAGCAGTTCAAGACTTCTGTATCAGCAATTTTGTATGCTTCCGTTTACTCAACATTCAACTTTTTCCGAGGGACGCCCTTGTATTTGACTCTTACACATCCTGCCCTCCATTGTTCTAGACACAAGGTTGTCACTCTGCGTCGCCTTGGTTTCAAATGCTCATACAGTATTTGGTGAAAGCAGGATAACTATAGTTTTTTAAATGAATATCCCTAAAGAATACGGGTCGGTAGCTGCATTGCTGTAGACGAGTCACTATGGGATAAATATCTCAATATTCATTTAACCCATTTGAATCTCATTTAAATTTTACATATGTTTTTATTTTAATATTTAAGTTATCAAATACAATATATATTCCTTTCTTTTGAATACTTCAAAATTTTCTTAGTAAATTTATCTTTTCGTGGACTTATAAGTTTCAATTATATAAAATTAATTAATCAATCGATATCGATTAATTATCTAATGGAACTTTTATGTATTATAAGACAAGTTCGTATCAGGTTAGAATTTAATTATTTGCATTAGATATTTTTATGTATTATAAGACAAGTTCGTATGAGGTTAGAATTTAATTATTTGCATTAGATACTTTTATGTATTATAAGACAAGTTCGTCTCAGAATAGAATGGCATTATTTGTAAATTGCATGTAAACTAAGGTTAGAATTTAATTACTTGCATGTAAACTAAATTTAATTTAAAAGTTTTAAAAGTTAAAAATTCAAGTTTTATTACCGTTCACTCATTCTAATTTTTTAATTAAAATTAAAGGGGAAGACTAAATTCTAATTTAATTTAACCTATTTTTTTTATAATCTAGCTGAAAAATTTCGGAGGCTGGACCGCACGACGGCGGAGATGAAAATCTTCAGACCTCGACCAAACTGAAATCGTGGCTGTTTAGGGAATATAGCGGCGACCTCCAGCCTCAATCTTCAGATGCTCATCCACCTAAGAAAGATAGCGACACCATTGAAACCCAAGCTCTCATCTTCCTTCAACAAACTTTACTCTGATCGCCCATTGAAGCATTCGCCTCTTCTCAAGCTTCCGTTTCAACATTCTGTACAAACCCTCACAAGGCCCCAACTCGAGGCTCTAGTTCTATCCCGATTCTCCCAGGGCAAGTTCTTCGACCTTCTTCAAAATGTTGTCGCCTCTCCCTCTGTTCTTTTCACCGCCTCCCAAAATCTCATCACTCCACTCCCAAGCAATCGCCTCAATGCTCCCGACTCGCTACTCAGTCTCGATATGGTCTCTAGTTGCTTTTCGGTCGAGGACATGGCTCGGGAGCTCTACGAAAATCGTTTCGATGTTGGTGCTTGCTGTGTTCGGTTGGAATCATCGGAAGAGAAAGGTGAGTTTCTGGTCTTACCGAATTTGAAATTGAAGGTCTTACTCGAGGCTATTAGGATTGTGTTGGAAATTGTTTATGACGAACGATTTGTAACGTTCTCTTATGGGGGGCGTGTCGGTATGGGGCGGCACACTGCCATTAGGTACCTGAAGAACTCGGTGCAAAATCCTAGTTGGTGGTTTACCGTTGCATTTCGTCGCAGAAAGTTCGATTCTGTACATGTAAATAAGTTGTGCTTATTGGTGCAAGAGAAAATTAAGGATGATATTTTGATTCTTATGCTAAAGAAACTGTTTGAATTGGAGGCAGTTCAAATTGAATTGGGTGGTTGTTATTTAGGAAGGGGGTTACCTCAGGAAAGTGGTTTGTGTTCAATCTTGTCTAATATATACTTCAATGGCTTTGATAAAGAAATTCAACAAATACGTCTTGAAAAGAATGAAGAAAATCCCAAGTTCAGTCTGGACGGTACTGTTTCTTTCCATAATCCGGTGAAAATATATGCCGTTAGGTATCTGGATGAGATATTAGTTATAACATCGGGGTCGAAGATGCTAATAATGGAGTTGAAAAGCCAGGTGCTAAGGTATTTAGAAGGGAATTTAGAATTGGAAGTGGATCGAATGAATACTGCAATTCATAGTGCTGTCTCCGAGAAAATTAGTTTCTTAGGAATGGAACTACAGGCAGTACTACCTTCAGTTCTGCATCCACCAATGTCCGAAAAGGCAATCAGGGCTCGGAAGAAGTACCTTAGACAGAAGGAAGTTAGAGCAATAGAATTGAGAAATGCCCGTGAGAGAAACAGGAAAAAATTGGGATTGAAGATATTGAGTCACGTGTTCAAGAAATTGAAGCGAACTGATGGCTTGAAATCTGAATTCCAAATCGAGAAGGAAGTCACAGAAATCTTCAGAAATTGGGCCGATGAAGTAGTGCGAGATTTCTTTGAGTCTTTGGAAGATAATACAGAGTGGCACCGTCCGCTGTCAGCAGGTGATTTCCTCTCCTTAAAACACATAAGAAATCAGTTGCCAGTAGATCTTGTGAATGCTTATGACAGGTTTCAAGATCAGGTAAACCAGCACTTGAATCCTCTAAAGGCCAAAGAGGAGAAGGCTAGGGAGGATGAAGAGAAAAGATTGGGTGAAGAAGAACGATATGCTAAAAGAACAGTTGAGGACTTAACAAGGCTATGCATCAAAGTTGAAGCTCCTATAGAGCTTGTTAGGAAGGCAGTGAAGATGATTGGATTTACAAATAAAATGGGCCGTCCTCGGCCTATCAGCTCTCTCATTGCTCTTGAAGATACAGATATTATCAAGTGGTATGCCGGTGTAGGAAGAAGGTGGTTAGACTTCTTTTGCTGTTGTCATAACTATAAGATGGTCAAAACTATTGTAACTTACCATTTGAGGTTTTCTTGTATTTTGACACTGGCGGAAAAGCATGAATCGACCAAACGGGAAGCCATGAAACATTACAGTAAAGATTTGAAAGTCTTTGATTTAAATGGCAAGGAAGAGATGCACTTCCCAACAGAAAGAGAAGTTAAGATGTTGGGAGAAAGAAATCTTGCTGACCCATACCCTGTGGATGGGGCTTTTTCTTTGTTTCTGATTAGATTAGTCACTGATGAAGATTCATATCCTTGTATTGCTCATTTTTGCAATAGAACAGACTCTATTTTATATAGGGTCCGATTACTGCAAAAGACTCTGAATGTCAATCCATCTAATGGAGTGGAATGGGTGAGAGGGATGGGAGTGATTCATGAAAGTTTAAATCAGAGATGCCTCCCTCTATGTGCTGATCACATCAGTGATTTATACATGGGGAAAATCAACCTTCAAGACTTGGACTGCACCTTATCGTTGGATATGGACTGAATGTAACTCGTTTCACTTCCGAGTTCCTTTCATGTTGGGAAGATGCTAATGAGACCCACTGATTGTTTTGCTTGCCCGGACCACAAGCAAGCTATTCAGTTCTACAAATGTTGGTGAACCCCAATGCCCATATCAAGGAATCAAAAGGGGATGAATAGACTGTGTGTGAAAGAAACAGCAGAGGAGAGAGAGACTGAGACAGAAATAAAAAAGTACCTACATGAGCCTGCATTATTCTCTCTTATCGTCAGGAAGTTAGTACGTTAAAAGAATGAACACTACAAGTCAATGTGGCTCTCTCTTGTCGAAGAAACTTGACAGAGACAAGGTGGACAAGCTCATCGCATGGAAAAATTGCTACTTTCAGGCAGCAAAGCCCTGGGGGAGATCTTCATTATTCTGTAAGTCCTATTCTTCTTTCTGCCGTAGATTCCAACTTTTAATAGCATAAATCAGTGTAGTTGGAGATGCAGAGGATAATACGTTTGGCATTAGCGATTGCCTTGCATTTGATTTATATCATTTTACTTCTTATTTGGTTGTTGATGTGAAATGACATTGTCTGCTCTTCTTAAGTCTGGTTTTTCCCTTTTAAAATAATATATACACTAATATCGGTTGTTTTCTTCGTTGTTATTTGCTTGTTAAACCTTTGAACCATTTATTGTGTTGTAGCATCGGTATGAAGCCACCGTTTAGGTTGTTTTGAGGTCTCCTTGTAATCCTAGAAATGATTGTTTAGGTTTACGACGGTCAGTGACAATTTTTTTTTATAGGAAACATGAAACCATTCATTGATCTATGCAGTAGATACAAAAGTAAGTCCACTCTGAGATAGTTACAAGAAAGGCCTCCATTGAGACGAGAGTCCATAAGCCTTAATTACAGAAAGGAGATAAAATACTCCAAGATAAAGCTAGATAAGTAGACTAAAGGAAGGAGTGTGTGGCAAAGCTTCATGCGTAAATGCTGAAAGTCCTTTTCACCCGGTGTAATAGCCATCAACATCGGAATGATACTAGAAAAAATGATCCAAAGTAGTTCCATGAACAATCCTTTGTGGAACCTGATGAAATAGGGTGAATTGAGATGAATACGTAATTATCTTTAAATATATTAACTATTTCTATATTTTCGGATCGTCTAGCAGGGACAAAAGAAACATCTTATTCTTTTTTCAACAATTTTTTATTTTTAGTGAACCTCTCAATAGGATTCGAACCCATAGTGCGCACAAATATATCTACAATATAAATATTAGTTTTGTTTAAGTTTTTAGGTTCTTGAATTATTTATTTAAATTGAATGTGTTAGGAACTTCCCTTAAAGGGGTGATCCGCACATGATCTTATAAAATTATTTATAGCATTTTTCTTTTCATGCATTTTGAATCGTCAACATATCTATATATTTGAATTTGTCAACATATCTCTTTAATTATTGTAATTTATTTGAATGCATCTATTTGTACCAAAGAAAGATAGACATTTGATCATATGATAATTGAAATGTTAAAAGTTGAGATGATGAGGAAGGCTCAATTCAAAGCATGAACAAAAGAAAATACAAATCCTACTTAAATATAGAGAATTAAAAATAATTGAATTCAATATCAATAGTTTAAAATAATCGGGTAAATCAATTTAGGTCAAAGGAAAATAAACTAAAAAATAAAATAGGTGAACCAATCGTTCTTGCTAGTTATATGAATGCCACGCGGACCCACATTTTTTCAATGGAGATCTCCTGCATCTAATTAATTTATTTATCATTAGCCAGTCATTAAACGAAATTGACATTTAACAAAACTTTATGCCATATTTGTTTTTTCTTTCATTTTGCTATTATTTTCAATCGAATGTATGAGTAAATTCGAGTAGGTGGATTATAAACTAGCTTAATAATTTCATTTAATGATTATAGGTTGATTGCTGAATTTATAAATTTGACATTAGGGGTGTGTAAAAATCGAGCCTCGTCAAGCTAAGCTAATTGGTTTAATTCAGTTAGATCAATGATACGATGTTATTCACTTTGAATACAAGTTTTACCGATTCTTTTTTATCTCAAAAAGCCTAATATGAATAGACTATTTAAGCAAAATGGAAGAATATGGAAAAAAAAAAATTATGAGGAAAGGAAAATGACGAGAGAGAAAGAGAATGAGACATTCAAGTCAAAACATGTACGAGACTTTTTTCCTCTGTTTTCAATATTGACCAAATGAAATTTTAAATTTAAGAAAAGAATAATTTTTTATTACGAAGTTTCTTAGAATATGAAAAGGAAAAGAAAGCATCAAAACAACCAAATTCTTTAACAAATAGTGAAATGCACATGATTCAACTGCTGATTATAAAATTTGGTTTCGAGTGCCATTTTTGGTGGTAACACACAAAGGCAAGATTCTGGTCTGACAATGGCGGACGAGAAGGGCAGTGGAAGCTTTTTTTTGCTTTCTGGTTTGTTCCAAACATTTGTTTTTTACTTCCTTCTTCTTCTTCCCATTTAATCCACCATTTTTTCCCCATCTTTTTGTTTGGCTGCCCAGAAAGTTATTTAACATCCAAGGGATTCAACCCAGAAACAAGTAGAAAGTTGTTCAAAACCAATCCCAACTGGTAATGAGTTTCTCAATGAACTAACAATGTTAGTCAGAAACCAGAAATTTGTTGCTTCTTTTTTCAAGTAATCATTCTGAGTTTTGTGTTCTTCACTGTACAATTCATCCAAATAACAATCTGATATCATCCAAAGCTGCAGGGGGTATTGGCATAAACAAGATGGAGATGGAGAATCTTGGAGGTTCTTGTTTGAGGAGTAGAAGGTTAGAGAGGTGGTTCGATGCAAGATATGAGCCAAATAAGAAAGAAGCCCCAAAATGTTCAGTTGATGAACAGATATCAAAAAAGGAGAATGGTGATGATATATATGTGGATGATAATGGGTGGAGTTCTGTTCTGATATCATGTTTCAGAATTATCACTTGCTTTCTCACAATGATGGTTACTACTTTCTTTTGGGCTCTGATTATGCTTCTGCTCCTGCCATGGCCTTACCACAGGATTAGACAGGGCAATATATATGGCCACCTCACTGGTAGATTACTGGTAAACTCATCTTTGGTCCTGTTTTTTTGTTACTTTATAAAGGGATGTTCCAAAGATCGCTTTGTGTTTCTTCCTTGTTTGATAAGGCCTTTGGGATTACATTGGGTGAACATTCGTGGGTGGCAAGGTCAAGTGTCGATGGGTCTAGGACACAATATTGTCAGCTTTGGCTCGTTATATATCGCCGTCAACCTAATAATTTTAAAATGCATTTACTAGGAAAAAGTTTTCATACCCTTATAAGAAATGCTTCGTTCCCCTCTATAACCAATGTAGGATCTCACAATCCACCCCCTTAGGGGCCAGCGTCCTTGCTAGCACACCGCTCAGTGAATGGCTCTGATACCATTTGTAACAGCGCAAGTCCGCCACTAGTAGATATGGTCTACTGTGACTCGTTATGTATCGCTATAAGGAATGATTCATTCTTCTCTCTAATTAATATGTGATCTCACGGTCTGTCGGAGTACACATGGGTGCATGAACGTGTGTGGCTGAGCTGGAGGGCTTGGTGTTGCAGCGTTATGGGTGAACACTCGTGGGCGGCGAGGCCAAGTGTCACGGTCATGCTTGTCCAGGGCATGTTGCCCATGGCCGCATGCCCATGACAAGCCAAACCCTTGTCATGTCTTTTCATTCTAGTGTTTTTCCTTTTGTAATTCTAAAGCGTATGACACCTAAAAAATATCATGTCTACGCCTGCCAGAACTAAAATGGCCCAGAATGTACTATAGGGGGATATGACTAGTCGTCAACTTCTCCCTACCCAAGGTTATATATGCTAAGCCGTTGTTATCTTTCTCTTGCTTGCTTATATAACGTCTCTTTCTAAAAATCTCTCTTTCTCAAATCTCTCTCTCCTCGTTTTCTAAAACCTTCTTTTAAAACCGAGGCTAGAGGCTTGACCGTACGTCGCTTGGCCGTAGGCGACGCAAGAACAAATAGGCTCAACTCACTTGTTGCTGGAAAGTGAGTGCCGCACAATCGCTAGTCCGCTGCCTTCGAAAGCGCGATTGTGTCACCAAGCACCATTGGGCTAGTGGTGCATACGCGTATGG